GACCAGCCCGACTGCCTTGTAAGGAACCATCGCTGACAACTAGGGTTCCTATTCAGCAGGCTAATAAGAATAATTATAGCCAGGGCAGGCATTAATCAGCTTGGCAGATACAGGAATTCTGTTAACAAGGCTAAAATGAGTGCCAAGCAATCTCTGAAGGCCACAGCACTTCAAAGACTGTTAAGCTGGGGGGAATTCACTAAGGTTCCTCCTGCCAGCCTTCCCCCGCCTTCTGCCTTTGGGTCCCACCCCTCAGAGCAGGCGCAGGCGTGGAGACCTGCTAGGAGTCAGGGTCACCACATGTGGGAATAGGGGTCCTTGGTCCGGCCCCTCCAGGAATTGTGCCTGGACTGCGCTCACCCCAGACTCTCTTATTTGCAACTGCACTCTGGCTGTCAAAACACGGCTGTCCTTTTTTCTACCAAAACTAGTCTCAGGCAACACACAGCGTGAGGTTACGGAGAGCATCAGTCAACTCCTTCCTGATCACATCCTGGCTCGGCCTCGGAACAGCTGTAGGACTCCGGACACGTGATTTAACTTTTCTGGGCGTCACTTTCCTCCCGTGCAATGGGCAGGAAAGAACAGCACCTTTCTCAAAGGGTTGTAAGGATTAAATAAGAGAAGGCACATAGGGCACCTGGGTGGCTCAGTGGGTTAAAGCCTCTGCCTTCAGCTCAGGTCATGGTCCCAGGGTCCTGGGATAGAGCCCCCCATTGGGCTCTCTGCTCAGCAGGGAGCCTGCTTCCTCCTCTCTCTGCCTGCCTCTCTGCCCACTTGTGATCTCTGTCTAATAAATAAATAAAATCTTTAAAAAAAAAAAAAAAAAGAGAAGGCACATAAAACCTGGTGCTTGATATGTACTCTCTAAACAGCAGCTATCATTTCCATCCCATACAGAGCCCTCTATAGAAACTGAGAGAAAAGAAGAAACAAAACATTTGGTATCACGGACACGCGCATGTGATAGGAGCGGCTTCGCCTGGGCTAAGCTTTTTACCTGACCTCCTTCAGAGCTGACAAAGAGACTGCTTAGCTCTCCCCCCAAGTCCACTGTTTTCACCCATGGATGTTGGTGCTCCGCAGCCGCCAGGCTACCTGGCATTCCTCGACCTCCCTTGCAGCTAGTGTGACGAGGAGAAGTTCTCTTGAATGGAATGTGTGCAGAAATGATGCATGCCCCTTCCAATCCTGGTCTATGAAACCTCCATGTGTTCTCCTCCAGGCTCTTTCCCCCTTTATGTGGCAGGAGAGGGGATGAGGACAACCAAAGTGATCTTAGATGGGCTGAAGACAGGGGAGCTGCTATCAGCCTGGGCACCAGGATGGCTACAAGGACCAGGCATACCACGCACCCTAGTCATGTGAAGCCTTCCCTTGGCACTGTTGTGAGAGACCTTTCTATTGTTTGAACCCTGATGCTTCTGAACTGTGAAGCTTCAAGTCTCTGCCTTTGTTACAGCAGTTTGGCCTACCTAATTAATATAAAAGTCTTCTATCTAATTTGAATTTGAAAATACAGATATAATGCTTCCATCACTTAAAAACCATTTCAATGGATTTGAAAGTTGTGTTTTTTTTTAAAGACACAAATGAAGAAAAATTCCTCCCCCTTTCCTACCTTTCACTCTCTAATTCATGCTGCACAATAGTGAGGACTGACCTCCTCCCGCACATTGCTGTGTTGTGTTAATTTCACCCTGAGAGCTTTTAATGGCTACCCAATACCCAGAGAGAGAGGGATATATGCATGTATCTACTCAGTTGGCCAACATTTACCAAATACCTACTACGCACGGCCCACGAGGAACCCTATTAGTAACAGGACTACAGTGAACAGGATGAACGAGATCCCTGCCCCTGGGGATATAATCAGTGTGGGGATTCAGACCAGAAACAGACAAATATTATATACAGTGAGATAAGCGACATGACAGGAAAAGTATGGGCCGCCTGGCAGCACCCCCAAAACCAATGAACCCCCCCCTCACAGCCCAGACTGCTCAGCCCAGCACGAAAAGCCTTTAGGAGCTACTCCAAACCCACCCTTCCAGCTTGCTCTCCCATTAGAACCTCCCCGGCCCACCTCCAGCTCCATGGATCTCACATGCCCTTCCTGAAAGAGCCTAGCACTTTCACATGGCCCCACTCAATGCCCTTCCACAAATGTGCTTCTCCTAGAACGCTCTCCCACTCCTTCTTTCAAAATTCTAATCATCCTCAAGGCTCAGCTCAAATGTCACCTCTTCAGCAAAATCAACCCCAACCCCAAGTCAAAATTAATCATTCTCTTCCCTGCTTCCTACCAGCACTTGGTGTCTCTGTCAGGTATCTCATCTGGTCTTGTAGTTAACTGTTTTATTTATTATCTGTCCATCTACCTGCACTGACCACTCAGGGAGGTATTTGTCTGCGATGTTCTGTGGACTCTGATGGATATTCAAGAAATGCCGTAGTGAATGTGTGGACAAGACAGGTCAGACACAGAGACCTGCTCCATGAAGCTGAGTGGGTTCTGATGGGATTGTGACCCTTGAGAGGGAGACTTAGGAAAATGTTTGGAAGAAGCGAGTTTTGGGGGAAACGGGAATACGTAGGTGAGAAAAGAGAAGCAGGAGGGACATTCCCAGGCCATGGAAAAGGGAAAGGCCAGAAGGTTCACACAATTCTCTGTAAAGGACAGCAAACAGATTCCTTAGAATGAAGTATTTGATTCAAAGGGAAGCGAACACAAGGGGCAGAATATCCTTGGAAGAAAAACCAAAAGAACCAATGAGCAAAGGTGAGACATTCCTCAAAACTGATCCTTCTGGAAAATGATGAACTAAGGAGGATGGAGGAAAAGATCAGCCAGGAAGATGTCCAAAGTTAATCCGTGCAGAGAATTATCAGAACCTGGGCTAGGATAGTAGCTGTAGAAACAGGAAGAATGGGAAGAAACCTGAGTCTGTGCTAGGAGAAAAGCCACAGAACTGAGGGACTGTGTGAACGTGGAGGTCACAGAGGTCAGTGATGGCAAAATTATGCCCAGGATGCAATACAAGAGGAAAGATGAGCTTATTTATTGACATATTAAGTTTCAGGAGCCAGTAGAACATGGAGGGCTTCCCAGAGGTCACAAAGAAGCCACACTGGGTGAGTGCTGGAGGGCAGAACTGTCATCTGGAACACCAAGTTCAGAAGCTGTTAGGTGGAAAGGCATTGGCTGGTGACTCCTCAGATACTTATGTGTAGTTAACATGAAATGCCCTGCCAACATACAACCAAGGCCTCTCCAAGCTGTGCTTTTCCCACTTCAGTTTTTTTCCTTTTGTCCATCTCTTTGCCCCCGATCCCTTTTTCTCCCTCATCATAATTACTCAAGGGCATTCTTTTCAGACTTCTTCATGAGCCCACCATCTGAGCTGGTACAAGGGTTGTCAAGAGCACAACTCTAGGGGGTCATTCATCTTGGCTCCAAAGTGAAGAGCAGCTCCTAGAGTAGTGCAGTACACAATCTGTGTGACTATAGGGCATGGCCTGGTGTGACCCAGACACATTAGCCAATTAATGTGTATAGACTATCACAACAAACGGAGAACTTCAAGGGTCCTGGTATGAAAGGGAAAGCTCTGGGACCTGAGACCATACAAAACATGCTACAAAACCAAGTGAAAGATCTGGAAGCTTTCTGCACGTGGTTGCAGCTAAAGCAGCATGGCTGGATGAGCTCTCTTGGGGAGTGAATTCCAGAAAACCCTTCAAAGAAAGAAAACACAGTATCAGCTAGAAAGGGCAGCGGCAGTCATGGGGGTGGGGACAATGTGGGCCCTGGTGTGGGCAGGATGGCAATGGCTGTGGAAGGCTTCCACTGGGACCCTTTGACTGTAAGTGCAGAGTAGCCATTTGCCCTGTGTGCAGCTGGGTCCTGGCTGGGACAATCGCCACACACCATGCATTCTGCAAAAGATTCAGATCTGCCTTCTCTAGGGGCTTGGAAGAAAACCCTGGGTCAGGTCACAGGACTCCTTCTGTTCTGGCTGACACAGACCAAAGGGATCCAAGAATATGAAAGAATATCAAGCACCGGGGTCAGTCCTCCAGCACCTCAGAGGGCACTTAACAAACATATGTATTTCTATGGCTGATAACTGCATAGTTATGTTAAATAACCATATTACCATAATCATGTGTATCTACACGAAAATGGTGTCTGTGTGTATGGGGTAAAAGGAAAATGGAGAGGAGGGGGAAAAAAAAACCCACCAAAGATTCCTTGGGTAGGGGGGACACCGCTGGGTCAAATGATCAAGAGGCACCCAGGTTTGGGGAGAGTGGAAGACGGGGGCCGTAAAGGGAAGAAAAGTAACAGGTAGGAAAAGTTGGAGAAGCCAAGGCGCCCGGGTCTTTGTGTGCAAATGTGCAGCTAGGAAGCTTCAAGAAGAGCTCAAGGAAAAGACTGAGGCAGAATATCGAGCCACCGCCAACATGACGAAGGACGAGCACACCGATTTTTCCTTTAGCGCTCTGGGCCACCCCGTGACCTTCGTAGAAGGAAGTTGGCGGATTGTCTCCCTTCCCTGGAAAGGCAGCTCGGCGTGGGCTGGCATGTGCCAGGGACGATTCGGCCGATCTCTGCTACGGCGGGCCACATCAAAGGCGCATATTTCCGCCCCCCCTACTGGGGACGCGGCCGAGTACCGCCGGCACCTTCAGGGCCCGGAGTTCAAGGTGAGCCGGGCTCCCGGCGGCCAACAGGTAGGGAGGGCTGGGGGAAGCCGGCCACCGGCCACTCCCCCCTGCACAGGTGGGGCGAGGCGCGGCCTGGCGAGGCGGCCCGGCCAGATTCGCGCCCGGCTCCCCGATCCCGCGCCTTTCCCCGCCGGCCCGCGCCGCCCGCGGACCCCGCCGCCTCTCCCGGGAGCCGCCCGGCACCTCGGCGCCCCAGGCCGCGCGCCGCAGCTGCGCCCAGCCGAGCCTCCCCCGGCCCCCGCGCCCGGCCGAGCCCGGCGCGCACTCACCCAGCCCCAGGAGCGCCAGCAGCAGCGGCCTCGGCGCCAGGCGCCCCATGCTCGCCGGGCGGGAGCGACTCTCCCCCGCCTCCTGCGTCCCCGCCGCCTCTCCTCCTCCTCCTCCTCCAGCTCCGGCTGCTCCAGAGTCCGCGCTCCCCCGCCTGGGCCGCGCGCCTGCTCTGCTCTCCTCGCGAGCCGAGAAATCCCAGCGCTGGGCCGTACGTGCGCCCCTCGCTCGCGCGCCGCCCGCCCGCCTGCCCCCGCCCGCCGCCCGCCTCCCGCCTCCCGCCTCCCGCCGGCCGGGCACCGGGAGCCGGGCGCCGGAGCCGCCCCGCCGAGCCGAGCGCGCAGTCCCGACCGCTTCCCGAAAGCAAAAGGGAAGAGCCGCAGCGCCCGCCCGCCCGCGCCTCCCATCCGGCGCTCTGCCAGCTACAAACACAAACTTTCCCAAGCCCCTCCCCGCTCCAGGTAACGGCGGCAGCGCCCGGCCCCCGGCTTAAAGGGGAGGAGGCGTCGGAGCCCACCCCGCTCTCCCCTCGGGCCCCCGCCCCACGACAAACTTTCCTCCGACCTTTAAAAGTTGGCCTGGGAAGGACTCGTCTGGAAACCTCATCGCCTGTGCTCCATTCCGGGACACCCCGCGTTCCCGTCCCTCTGGAGTCACCCACGCGTGTCTGCTCTTCTCTCGGCTACCTCCCCGCCGTTCACCCCACTCGTCTCAGGCTCCGCACCCCACCCACCAGCCGCTGGGCTCTTGCTAAAAATTGCTCAGGTAGGACTTTCCCAGGAGGTGAAAGGACTTTAAATAGGTCACGAGTTCCAGCCTCTTCGTGGTGCAAGGCCAGGAGTGACCTACCCAAGGGCTCACGGCGAAGTGGCAAGAGCAGAACCTCGATCTCACAGGCTCTGCTCCCTGCCCTGCGCCTGGTGGGCCTCCCTTCCCTCTCCAGGGTGCCTATGGCATTGATTAGAACCGTCCCACAAGTACACCCACGGAGAAACAAACAAACAAACCAAGTGTATTAATAGCTACAGTTATCCATATGGAATGTACTCTGAAGTCTAAATACGTGTTGCTTTGAGTGGACACAACTAGTTGCCAATAAAGACCACCTTTTTTTCCCCCACAATAGGGTTTTGTGCTTCTAATTTGAATACAAAAGGCCCAGTAAAAAAAAAAAATTAGTGTTCATTGTTTAAAACTTCACAACGGTGCTTCACAAGGTGCTCCCATAGGGAGCGATCCTGATGCCCAGTGCCTGCCCACCCACACCCCCTGGGACCACAGCCTTTCATTAATACATGCAAAACACATTGCAAAAAAATAATAATAATAATAATAATAATAATAATAAAAACACATTGCAGATGTGAATGGCCAAACCGCCCAGACTGGGGAGAGGAGCACTGCTTGAACTCTGATGCATCATCGCTTCCACTAACAAGCATTTCTTATTTCTGCTAAAAAACGTGTGATTAGGGGCACCTGGGTGGCTCAGATGTTTGGGCATCTGCCTTCGCCTCGGGTCGTGGTCCCCAGGGTCCTGGGTTCCGGCCCCGAATCCAGCTCCCTGCTCAATGGGAAGCCTGCTTCTCCCTCTCCCACTGCCACTGCTTGTGTTCCCTCTCTTGGTGCATCTCTCTCTGTCATATAAATAAAATCTTTAAAAACAAACAGGGGTGCCTGGGTGGCTCAGTGGGTTAAGCCTCTGCTTTCCGCTCAGGTCATGATCTCAGGGTCCCGGAATCGAGCCCGGCATCGGGCTCTCTGCTCAGCGGGGAGCCTGCTTCCTCCTCTCTCTCTCTCTCTCTCTCTCTCTCTCTGCCTACTTGTGATCTCTGTCTGTCAAATAAATAAAATCTTTAAAACAAAAACGAGTGATTGGCCAGATATGGACCCCTCTGAAAGGGACTCAAAAACTCTTTCTTGGTGGCACAACAATGGGAATGTCTTAATGCTACTGAACCATACACATAAAAGCAGTTAAAATGGTAAATTCTGTTTTAAAACAATAAAGAAAAAAAAATTTTTTTAGAAACAATTTTTATTTCATTTTTGCCACGAGCCTTTCTTCATACTGTTCACCCACCCTGAAATCCGTTTCTGCTTCCCATCTCATGGAACCCTCTAGAATTTCTCTGGAAAGTGTTTTAATTTAATTCAATCGACCTCAAATGCCAGGGCTAACGTTAGGCCTTGGGAAATGCTGGATCTACAAAGAAGGGTAGGGCCTGGCCCCTCTGGAAACTCAGAGCTTTTCCTTTCTTAACCACCCACAGCCCGTAATGTCTGAACCACACATTTTGGCTCTTCAAGGTTACTCATGCTTGGACTGAATGTTTGATTGCCCCCCACCCATTCGTATATTAAAACCCTAATCCCTGGGGTGCCTGGGTGGCTCAGTGGTTAAAGCCTCTGCCTTCGGCTCAGGTCATAATCCCAGGATCCTGGGATTGAGTCCCGCATCAGGCTCTCTGCTCAGCAGGGAGCCTGCCTCCTCTTCCTCTCTCTCTCTGCCTGCCTCTCTGCCTACTTGTGATCTGTCAAATAAATTAAAAAAAAAAAATCTTAAAAAAAAAAACAAAAAACGCTAATCCCTAATGGCACTTGGAGGTGGGGCCTTTGGGGGGGGTAATTAGGTCCTGAGGATGAGATGGAACCCTCATGAATGGAATCAGTGCCTTTATAAGGAGAGGTACCAAATAGATGATCTCTCCACCGTGTAAGGAGACAGCTAGACAGTATCTGTCTGCAAACCAGGAGGAAGGCCCTCACCAGGAACTAAATCTAGAGATTTGCTTAAAGAACTATGATAAATAGTTTTGTTTTTGGTTTTTGTTTTTTTTTTTGCTCCAGAACTATGATAAATAAATGTCTCTTGTTTAAGCTACCTAATCTGTGACATTCGCCATGGCTACTTGAGCCGAAACAGCACAACATACATACCACTCCCATTTTTGTCTAATATAGAAATGAGTCGATGCTAAAAGCTCTTTTATTTAACAGACAAGTACAAGTCTGGAGGTGTGCCTGGCACATGATAGGTCTTCAATAAATATTTATAGGCTGAATGAATGCCAGGTCCTGGGCTAGACCCTGGGAATACAGAGATGGGTAAGACAGTTCCTGCCCTTAAGGCACTCACAATCTGTGCTTCATGACTTGGTAGGTGTGACAGCATATGCAAGGTCCAGGTGTGACACAGGGAGTGGTCAGTCCTGGGAAGGTTGCCCAGAAAAGCTGCTCAGAGAGGATGTCCATGAAATGAGTTTGGAATGACTGGGAGGTCTTTAGCTGTGAGGTGGAGGGATGTGCTTACTGTCGATGTTGTATATTTAATATGATAGGGATTCTTCTCCCCTCGCCTCCCCACCCCCAGGTGTTATTAAATTAATGGTGCATTTTCAATCATGGAAGTAACAGTGGATAGTAGTTGAAATGGAAATAATAAATAAGACTGTCCAGGCAGGGCAAGCAGAATGAGGACTAAAGTGGATAGCCTATTGGCGGTAGGCAGTCAGCTGTGTCATGAGAGTCAGCCCAAGACAGCCGTTTTGTAGCAGAAAATGAGTGTAAATTAATAACTCAACTCTAGACAGTTGCTCATAACCACCACCTTTTGCATAGCCCTGACTACCAAAGGATGAAATCCTAAAGAAACATAATCCCCGCAGCAGACCAGCACACTTTGTTAATTCACGACTCTGGAATCTGATGATGCTTTTATTATGAAAGATACTTATTTGTCAGAGTGAGTAACCTCCTACACAGGTAAGGCTTTTGCTCCAACCAATTGTTCTCAGTTTGGTTAGTCTTCGGGCTTGCCTGGGGCAGAAGGGCTCATTTCTCTAGCAACTCTGACCCACGCCCATTCCTAGGGAGGTGAGCCCTACCCTGGGTTTCCTTTGCCAGATCACAGGGACCCTGGGAGGCTCTGGTCACAACAGCCAAGCCTTGTCTCTTGATGACACATAACTGCCTACACACACTGCTCCTGAAAACCCCAGGAAGGTCCTCACACTCTCACTCCCGACAGATATTCCTGCTGAGATCAGGAAAGTCACCTATTATTTAAAGTCGAGAATGGAAATATTAGAAGGTCCCAATGAATGAATTTGCTGATTGGTCTAAGATTCACCAGGGCCTGGTGTGTTAGTTCTCCCATCCCACCAACCCATACACACACATATACACACACATACATACAGTCTTCAGATGACCCTGACCCTATTTCAGCAGAGTGGGGAGGCGTGTATTCAACCTTTCATTCCATTAATCATTTTCATTAAAATAAGTCCTTGTTTTTTTTTCCAGGTGTCTTTCCCCTACGGATATTAAGGGGATTACTAATTAAAAAGAAATGTAAGATTTAATCACAGAATTAGAAGTTGGAATTAAGAGTTAAAAGTGGGGGAGGGGGGACACCTGGGTGGCTCAGTGACTCTGAGCAACCGACTCTTGATTTCAGCTCAGGTCATGGTCTCAGGAGATGGAGCCCTAGGTCCTCCGGCTCTGTGCTCAGAGTTTTGTCTGCTGGAGAGTCTCTCCCTCTTCCTCTGTTCCTTCCCCTGCTCTCTCACTCTCTCTCTCTCTCTCTTGCTCTCTCTCCAATAAATAAATACAATCTTTTTGTAAGAGTTACAAGGGAAGAGTGAGGAGAGGAGGCTTTCATTTTCTGATGAGTGACAGTCACTCACCGTTGCCAGGGAGCCCACAGGGGAAGTTATGAAATGCCCAACTGACCAGCTTGGAAGACAGTAAGGGCCTTATCTGTTTGCACTGTGTCAAACAGGGTCCTGCTGAGGGCTGTGCTCTGTGACCTCCGGCCTCAGGCTGGCACAGAAGCGAGAGGTGGCCTGTCCTGGGAGAGGCAGCAGGGTCCGAGGGTGGTGCGGGGTCTCTGGGAGCTGGGCTTCAGGATGTCAGCAGAGACTCTTTACCCAAGGCCAAAGGTGCCCCACCAGGCCTAACCTTGTGCCTGGCAGCCAGAGTGATGGCCAGTGGGTGTGGAAAGGACTTCATGCCCTCCTGGGAAGGCACCACACCGTAACGTTCACGCATGCACTTGGAGGGGCAGGAGGAGAAGGGGGGGATGTCCTCCTTTCTCTTACGG